AATTATTTTTGGCCGGTTTGACCGGTCGGCCGCCGGTTTGACCGGTCAGCCGCCGCATGACCGGTCTTGTTGGAAAGTATTTTTTCGCCGGAATTATTCAGAGGTGTTTTCAGAATTTTTCGAGGCTCGGTTTGGCCGGTAAATAGTTTTAAAGAGGGACATTTATTCTTTTTTAAAAAAATGTATAAAGGGCAAATTAGTCTTTTAGGGCGGTAAATATTGAAAAGGGGCGGTGTTTAGCGGTTCACAAAAGAAACTATTTTTTAATTCTAAATTTATGGAATAAAACCAGTTTTTATCAATATGTACTCATTCCATTTTTAGTAAATCTAAAATTATTTTATTTACTATATTTAGTACATACTTATTATCTTTTTATAGTTATAGATTATCAGAAATTCTATGGAGCATCTGGTGGCTCATTTATGGAGTCATCAATAACTTTATATAGTGACACATGTCCAATATGCATTTATTGCAGGACACGCATCAATACATTTGTAAATAAGTAAGATGACTCCATAAGCCGAATAATCTGATAGCTCCATAGCAAAGCTGTATAGATTATTTTATTTTCAAACCTCCCTTAAACGTATCAGTAGAAGATGCTCACACTAAAGTGAGTATTACAACATATGGCCTTGAGGGCTCCAAATACAAAATTAACCAATAATTATGGAAGCTTATATAAAAAGCGGAAGCATTGTGATTCATACAACAGAACCTATGTGTTCTCCTTTTCAGCCTCTAACATAAACTTATAGAGCGCAAATCCTCCTTGGTGGCATCCATACAGCAGAACCTATGTGTTCTCCTTTTCAGCCTCTAACATAAACTTATAGAGCGCAAATCCTCCTTGGTGGCATCCTGGCATTTTAGACGTAATGTCTGCCAACTTACACTGATAATAAAACATCAGAAAAAAGAATCTCAGAACCAGAAGAATGTCCAACTTTTAAGTAGCATAACGACCATAACCGGTTTTTGCAAGACCGAGATTTATTACGTAGGGGACATCACCCGCGTCATCAAGATCAATGATGAATACATATTTTTTAGAACTTCGTGTTGTAATGTGTCCACAAAAGATGACTGTGATTTGATTATGTGCAGGTAAAACTGAGAGCATTTTATAGAATGGATTCGTTCCATTTCATACTTTATTTTACACTACTATGAGTTTTGCAAATTTATGATAGCTGTGGGAATACCATGTGTCATGAAGAGGTCATTTTTCAAAATTATTGGTTGAGGTAATGTAACAAAATAAAAGATTTTTTTTTTTTTCTGGTGTACTGTACACACTCTAATGGTGGATAATTATTTTGATCCTTTACCAATTTTTCTGTTTTGTTTTTTTAACCTCAAACAGGTACCCTCTGCATATAAAAGGAAAGTACACCACGATATATCAATCAAAAGCTTGGCCAAAGTTCATTGTCAAAAACAGGAAGACATTACTAACCCTTGACATAGTGTAAAGCTGAGTTGATTCGTAGCCATCTTGAGCATTTCTATAAAGTTTTTGAATCTCCTCGGAAGGAAGGCAGCATTTAATAAAGAAGAAAGCTGTTGGCCTAACATTCAACACTCTCTGGGATATTCCAATAAATATGGGCTTGCCCTGCATTAATCACAAAAACACGAAACAATTCATTCCACTGTCCACACAAAACTACTAACAACTTTTACTAAATAATATAAATGTAAGTTACATACAAAAAGTCCATCAAAGTTCCAAAACTAGAAATAACAAGCACATGGGGGTTGCAGAACTTCACTTCTGATTTGCCTATGCTTTTGCTCCTCTTAAATCCCAATAGGTGTAATTAACAATAATTGAAGCAGATGTGATGAGATTTGCAATTTGCTATAAGGACTTCCACAAATAACCGAAACCCAAAAAGGGTGGTGCTATAATTTATGATATTTTTATTAGACCGTAAATAGAAGTAGGTTGGATGGTCATAAATGAAAAATACATGGATAGTTAATAATTTTGAAGTCATCTTAAAATGAATGATGTTCATACACTACCAGGCTAGCAGCAGGAACTCCAATTTCCTCAACTACTTCACGAATAATGCTGTCAAACATTTCTTGAGAAACCTTTCTATTGATCATCTCACAGCTTAATCCTCCATTAGATTGATGGCTTATTATGCCAACTTCTTGGGGCTGTCAGCAATTATAACAATAGTTAGATTTTCTTCAAAAAGGGGATGATTAACAAGTGATGGGAAATATTAAATACCCATTAGCATATTATACTGCTAAATAATAGTGTTATAGGTGCATTGCAAAATCAAAAAGCAAATTCAAGTGCCTCCATGTTGTTGCATTGAATTCATTCATTAAAATGTAGGACAAATGAATACAGCATGAAAATTGCTAGCTGTTTCCAAAAAAGATGAAGAGATATTTAAGTATATAGCACCTCTGGATGCCCTCCAGGAAAAACAAAGTGTCCAGGAAACTCGCCAACATTTGTACTTCTTTGAAGCACAACAACTTCTCTATCTGATGTCTCTACAATTGCACCATTGCCAAGAGGATTGGAGGTATGCTGACACTTTCTCCAGTCATCTAAGAAAAAAAAAAAAGTAAATAACAATTTTAGCAGTTGCATATGATATCCAAGTACTTTCAGACTTTAAGGTTTTAACATCATCAATTTCCTAGTCTTTTTTGTTTCAGGACTTCTTGCATTGTCTCTTACATTTATGTATTCCGGTTGCCAAACCCTAGCCTCATTAATTGTGTCAATTCACATTATAACAGGATTATTCTGCATGACTTTGTTCCACGATCCTTGTAGATCCTTCAACAAGGTTTACCTACAGTTTTCTCTCTTTGTTATCACTTATCCCCACTTTTCATATCTCGCCTCTCTGTTCTCTCCTTTCATAGGGGAAAGGTCATGTAAGACAGCATGCAGTATAAAACTATTAAAACATAAATGATAAATGTCCTTTAGTCTTATGTTTCTATAAAAGCACATTTACCTTCAGAAGGAAAAAGAAATCTTTCCCACAAAGGATTCAAGTTTGTTCCAATGAATGTCCTGAGCAAGAATTATCATAAAAGTTACATAAATGATCAAATCATTGAAACTTCTCTCTCTCTCTCTTGGATATTATTAAGCATGTAATGTAACACCATGGCTCATGCAAGGAGTCATCTAGACACATTAAGTTGAGACTTTTCCCTTTGACCAAAGGCGAAGATCTTTGGCAGTTTGGCTGCAGGTTACAGAATTCCATTAAAAGCTTAACAAGGATACTAATGCGCGGAGTCCTAGATATATTTGTCGTTGCATCAGATTCTAACTGCTAACAGTGTAGGCCTAAATAAAATCGAATAAATCTTCCATATGTGCCTGTTTTTCATGTTTTTTTTTTTTTTTTAACAGAATATCCACTCTGTAATGCTTAAAGATTATTCTTTTTTGGTTATAGAATTTCAAGATCTAGATCCACAATAAAATTTCTGAAATGTTAAAAAGAAACAAAAATATATGTGGATTAGAGTCCCTCAAATGATGAGAGAGGGGTAGAGGGGTACACCTAGTAATGAGGAGCTCTAATATATAGAAACTTGATTTTCCAACTTAATCAAACAAGTACTACAAATAATGTAGAAAACTGCCTCCAATTGACACTGGGGTGCCTTAACAGTCTTCAATCCAGGACAGAACATGTAGGACTTGATCAGTAGGATAGTAATGCTAACTACCCGCTCTGGTCATGCAAAACTAGTTATCGATTCCACGTTTTTTATTTTTCTAGAAATATGTTATTGTAACCACGTCCTTTAGTTTTTACCATCTTAGTTTAGAAATAGTCAATATTAATATCTTACAAGTTCTGTCATACTATTTTACACACATTTTAATAACTTGTTTTAAGATATAATCAACAGACTTATCCATGCGGCACACCTATATCAGTCTAGGGTAGCATTTGGTTTCGCATAAGCCTTCGTCCAGTATCCTTTTGGTTTTGTCAATTGTTTGTCTATTTTGGGTTATGTTATCCGCATATGTGATATAAGCAACTACTTATGCTTGACAATGCTTGACCCAATTGATGGCTAGCATCAAGCTTGAGATGATTGATGAGATACAGTTGAGAGTCTGACTTCTTAGGTGTAGGCACAAGATTGGTTATATAAATATGAACTGGTGACTCCAAATTAGGAATTTCAACTCTCACTTGTCCTATATCACAGAAATAAGCATGTCGCCATGTCCGAATTGTCGTAACCGATCTTTGCTTCCTAAGTAATGATACATTAATGTTGATTTACATCAGTGAGCTTATATTCACAGGTTTTTGGCAAAGTTTAAAATGTCCTCCGAAGTCATTTAATAATGAAGAGAAGAAAGATACATGGTCCAGTTTTGGAAAGTCAGATTGCTACAGTCGAAGAAAACAAAACAAACTCCTAGCATAATCTTTGTCGTTCATGGGGTTCACTGCTCGCTTTCTCATTCATTCGATTCTAGCCACCAGAAACAAAACATCTAACAAAGAAGCTACACGTAAATGCACGTAACATACTTATTGGTTCAGTTTAACTTCAAACCACATAGGTATGGATGGTATTTAACACATCAAAACTATTTATTAAACCATAGAAAAAAAAGTATGCATTGCAAATTGCAAATATTGAATACAAATCTGAATTGATCCATTAACTGTCCCCTTCAAGCTCTTTCAATAAACATAAGAAACCATAGGACTCCCTAATCAATCACTTCATGATGCACGAGTATGATATCTTGCCTTCATTCACAAAGATTTGTAGCTATCATTGCACAGTCATCATCATGTTTCCACCCACTGTTTGTCACCACACACACACAAATAATCTTAAATACTCGACAATGTATAGAACTATGCAATTAATAACTTCCATTAAAAAATAGGTGCTAACTGATGGGGAGGGAATAGAACCTGTAATCAGTCAAGCCAAGATGAAGACATACATTAGCCTTACTACACGAACCATCCTTACCAGTGAGGGTCTGCCCACCATACTGCCAAGATATCAACATAATCAATAATGACACTATTCACCAACTCAACCAAAACACAAAATGTCGACCAGAAAAATAAGGGGAAAATCTTTAACACTCCATACCCTGAACTTGAGTCCATTGAACAAAGATGGGTTCTGTTGAGATCTCTTGTCCCATATCTGGCATTTGAATTCCAGTTTTAGGATCAACTAACAGAAACAAAGAATTGTCTTTCCACTAAGGTCTAAGCTGATGAACAAAGCTGACGAATGCATACCTCCGTGATTGAATTTTCTAGGCTGGTATCCAGATGGGGAATTCTATCATAGGTCTGGTTAAACACCACAGACACCTGAATTGGATTGTATGCTTAAGCGTGAAAGAAAGGACAACGAAAACAAAACGGAAAGCCGAGTATAATAAAAGTAGACGAACAAAGATAAAGCCTTCAAAAATACCTCAGAAGGATTAAGGCCTGCAGGACACGAGAGAAGAAGTTTGAACGCGGGAAAATCGTGGCTGCTGCCGACTTCAGACGTCATCTCCATTGTCGCGAAATCACAATGCTTCGCCGAAAGGCAAAGCCAAGAAGGAGGATCGCGATTAGGCATCTCCAATGATAAAAAATGTAGTAGTAATAGATTATAATTTTTATTAACAATTTAGCAAATGTCTCGGCATATAATTTTTTTCTAACAGACTCAAAGGCAGCATTGTGGGTGCTCTTAGGGTTGTATTAGGACTTTTAATGATTTTTTAAGATTTTTTTAAAGTAAATGACTTTTGTAGACTTTGGCCTTGTTTGGCGATCAGCGGATAGCGGATTGTATTAGTTGATTTGACTAGCGGATTGCATTAGCGGTTTTTAAATAAGTGTTTGGTAAATAGCTGAAAGCTTATAGCTGTTTGACATTGCAAATTACCAATAAGGACATTTTATTATTTAGGGTGTATTCTTTTAATAATAATATATTAAAACATTTAATATTTCTTAGTTGGTAATTTATAAATATCTATCTACTATATAATTAGGCAACACACTTGCCATTTTTAGAAAGTTTATGTGGGTCCTACCACACTCTTACTATTTTTGGAAAATTTTCATATTTTTTAACATGTGTTCATATTTATGTTAATATTAACTGCCTCAACTAATATTTATTTAGTTTACCTAACGACTCATTATTGAATGATTTGAACATGTTCATCAGTTGTGACACATGTTTTTAATACAAACAATTAGAAGTACGGGACATTTGTACTTGACAGATATTTTTATAGACTTTTATTTTATTTTTTATTAAAGTTTTTAGTTTAAATTATTTATCTAATTTTCATAATTTATATTTTACAAATTAAAATAATTATAAGTGTTCGTATGCTTCTGGCTTGAATTTTATAAATTTTTTTATCTTAACTGTAGTGAAATTAGATATAAAATATTTTAAAAACATGCGCAATGAATAACAACATTCTTTATAATAATTAAATAAATAAATAAATAACAAAATGTTTGTAGAAGATTTCTTATTTCATTTTCTACATCATACAAATTAAATCTAATAATAAATGAAATAAGATATAAAATGTTTTAAAAACATGAGCGATGAATCACACAAACATTTTTGGTAATAAATAAATAAAATCATGTTTGTAGAATATTTTTCAATTCATTTTCTACAAGTTGAAAAATCCAAAATATATGATCATGATTAAATTAATTGATTAAACAAATAGTATTAAATATATATGCAATATATGTAATAAATATTAGATTATATAATATAAAGAATATTTCGTAAATAACTTTTGTATTTATTAGTAATATCGCAATAACATAACAATATGACTTATACGGTAGGTAGTTAATTGTTTTAGACTTGTAAATTTATGTTCATAAAATATTTTGTTTTTTAATAGGTAAATCAGTCGATATACTTCCAAAATAAATTACGATCATAAGATTTTTTATTGTTTTAAAAAAAATATATATTAACACAATGCAGTAACACGTCTAAAACCCCTAAAACCATGAAGGTTAGTTTGAAAGTTAAGTCAGATAGAAGTTAATGCAAGTCAGATAGAAGTTAATGCACGAGGTCAGTTTGGAAGTTAAGTCAGATAGAAGTTAGTACACGTTTGTAAGTTTTGTTAGACGTTAAAAATACACCCCTAAAACCATGAAAGTCAATTTGGAAATTAAAGTTAGATGATTAAACGAATAGTATTATATATATGCAATATATGTAATTTAAAGAGTATTTTGTAAATACCTTTTTTATTTATTAGTAATATCGCGATAACATAAAAATATGACTTAAATGTTAAATGGTCGGTAGTTAATTATTTTAGACTTATAAATTTATGTTCATAAAATATTTTATTTTTTAATACGTAAAACAATCAAACATACTAATCCAAAGTCCAAAATAAAGTACGATCATAAGTTTTTTATTTTTTATTTTTTAAAAAATATTAACACAACGCACGTCTAACATACGGAAGTTAAAAATTCACCCCTAATACCATAAAAGTCAGTTTGGAAACCATAAAAGTCAGTTTGGAAGTTAAAATAAGATAGATGTTGACACATTTGTAATTTTTGTTAGACGATTAAAAATACACCCCTAAAACCATGAAAGTCGGTTTGGAAGTTAGAGTCATATAGAAGTTGACACGTAAGTTACATTGTTAGTGGCTTGAATCGTTACTTACACGGAAAACATTTTTTCTTTAATAAGATATATATGTTGTAGTTTATAAATACGCAATTGATTATTCATTTATGTACCATGGCATTCACATCTCTCACATCTTATTCAAACAATTGCTTACACACTTTTGAAGAAGGTATAAAAAACAGAGTGGAGTATCAATGTCCGTGTGGTGCGATATTATGAAAAGACTGCTTTCAAAATCAAAACACCGTTCTCTGGGAATTGATGTTGAGGTGATTATTTCAAGACGTTTTTGTTTATAAATTTTGTTATTATACATATGCTATTTAATTTTATTTCCTAATATTTGTGTTTTTAACGAATTTTATTTCTTAATATTTGTGTTTTTAACGTTTTACAGGCATGCCTCAATAAAAAAATTCATGTAGATTTGTTCAAACGTTTCATTATACATATGCTATTTAATTTTATTTCCTAATATTTGTGTTTTTAACGAATTTTATTTAAACGTTTTGAATTTGTATGAATTGTAAATGCTCTTTTAATTAATTTTTTTCGTAGCTTCCGTGCATTTGCACGGGCAACTTACTAGTTAAACAAATTATCGTGAACACTTGTAGTGTAATTTTGGAATAAGTCGATTTTGACTAATGATTAAAATATAATTTAATAAGTCTGAATGGACTATGGAAGATAAGTTCATGTTATACCGGTAGTATTGAACTATGCGTTATTTATTGCTCGTATTTCCGTATGATAATAAAAGAGCATATATATTTGATACTTACTACTTCCATTTATATAGTTAATAGACCCTGAGATTGGCTAGTAATATTGTTTATATGATGTGTCGTTAATTATTTATGAATATTGTGCCTTGATGCGTTAGGTGTTGGTTTGTATACTGAAAGATTGACTTCATTTACAAACTTGTTTTCAGTTTTTGAATGAGAATGACAATCAGGGTTTAGTCAAAATTATGTATTTGCAGTTTCATTTTAAATATTCATTCAATTTGTTCTATTATTTTAGCTTGTAGATAATGTAGTTCATCGTGTTGAACACCAGATTATATCGGTGCTTTGTAAATTATAAATTGCGGTTCACTACCTAGGTAAAATTCAAGAAATTATTGTAAACGGTTGAAGTGTTATTTTGAAACTAGTTGCTTTTGGCTAATGAATTACACTAGTAGATATAGATTTTGAGCAATGGATTGTTTTGCTTTATTGATGTTTCCTCAAGACTTCTATTATGGAAAACTATCTTGACATCCAACTTGCCAAATCTCATAATCCGTATGTGCGGCCACAACAAAAAATATCCGCATAGATTTAAGCATGGCTACAAGATCCCAGACCTCAAACTCAAAAATCATTATCTTTTCCCAATATCTCACATCCTTATCTGGAGTGTCTCATCATATAATCAGAGATTACTTTCATGTTCACTAGAGTCTTAAGTCCGCAAATTTCTCAAGAACGCCAATCCCATAGAAAATGTTTACCGGATTGAGTCCAAAGTTTCTCTCAAGAACATGAATCTATTGGGCTATCTTGCAACTCTCCCACTTCAGCGATGTACTATCTACAAAGGTGTATTACTCGTGACACGTTTTTTAGTTTTCTTGTATCATATCTTGTACACCTTTACCTACTAACGAGCTTGTGGTTTATCACTTAGTATTCCTCTTAAAAATTCAGCATTCGCGTTCACGGTCACCTCTTGGATTATAGTACTATAAAATAAATCACCTTTCGTTTATATGGAATATCCCACGAAACTTACAAACTTTCAAACGTCACTCCAACTTACTAGTATTACCCTTCAGCAGTGTGCTTAACTATTCCATAACCGAATATGTTTCAAACTAGGGTTGCCTCGGTCCGTAAATCTATCGAAGTAGAAAATACTAATGAGATGGAACCATGTTCATAATGTATGTCGTTGTTTCTATAACCCAAAAATTAAAATCGAGAATATCTAGTAACTTATCATTAACCTAACCAATTTCCATAAGAAATTTTTTACTTCGTCCTATCATACTGTGCTGTTGGGGTGTACTAGGTGAAACCAATGCTGAGTTCAATGAAAGACGTCGATCGATGTGCATGTTTGAACTCTATGACAATAATCCTAAGTGCAGCGAATCTAAAGTTTGTTGGGGCTCGGTCAGGATCTTTATATTTATGCAAGTCACGGACTATCTACGAATTAAACTCTAAGCACAGCGGAACTAGAAATGAAGGTTCAATGCGTACCATTTAATTTTTTTTCGACTCTGAGGCATTTTGATTTCAGATGATGGAGATCTTCTAAATCGCTTTTCGGTGTTTGTCCCTTTGCGATTGCCTTGTTGCGTCTCGTGGCATCTGAATCACGTCTTGCATCGCCTTGGGCTCCGCACCATTTTGCTAGCTGATCGAGCCCATCAGAGGGTTGATAGAAAGTTGCTCGATCGTCGTCGGAGCTCGGTGGTGGTTGTTGGTGGTCGCTGGTGCACGCTGCCGCACCTGGTGCACGTTGCTCGCGCTTTAGGCCTATTTTCAGCCTGGTGTTGCCGAGACACTTGTGACTGCGACAGTATTGTGCGCGAGGGCAGAGGTGACTGCGAGAATCTCACGCACTCGCACGTCCGCTCTCCACATTTATGCATCCGCCTACGCACTGCACGCCCGCCTGCGCGCGGCTGGGCCCGTGCACGGGCATCTCCACAACCACGCGCGGCTGCGCCTGGCTGTGCATGGAAGTCCGCAGCTGGGTGTGCGGCTGGTCTCTCCAAGGTCGCCGGTGGTCCCCAAGCTTTCAGAAACTTCGTCGATTGTTATCGGATGATCGATTGTTATTGGAATTTTATTTTATTTTATTCCTAGATACTCTTTTGGTCCTACATTTTGTATTATGTGCAAGATGCCTTATCATCTCCTTCACAT